CCCTATCCAATCGGCCACACTGTCTCCTGTATGACGCTGGGAAGGTTCACTGCTTGGAGCCGCACCCATAAGATGAGGTTCTGATCCCCATTAGAGACTACATGTTACATCAATGTTGAGCAGCCCTGTCACTATTATATGGGAACCCCTTTTCCCCTCAAATGACTCTACACATTCTTACCCATCCACTAGCGTTACACGACACCAGATTGGCTCCTACACTGGAAGCCGACATCGGTCTCTCATTCAGAAACATCAGTTTGGTCACAGCATAACCAAAATCATCCTGTTAAAGAGAACGAAAAATAATTCTCATTATTAAAAACTGAATCATTGGATAATGCAATTCTAGAGTTGGCTTAGCCATCACGGGTTATGAGCCATTATACCATGCTCTACAAATATGGAAAGCGTACGCGTGATTTTTTGGGGCGTTTTTATTTTTGTCCTACTTTAGCTTTCTATATTTTGGGGGCGTCTTTAATAAAAAAATTATTCCACTTGCGCTTGTTGGAGATGACTGATTATAGCCAGTTCANTCACAATGTTTCAAACAATTGAACAGAGCTCTAAATTTTGATGGGCCATATCAAGCGAAGAAAGTAAAAAAAAATAACGTTTATCAAAACTTCGCATAGTCTGAACTGTACCAGCTAACTTTCGTTACAATTCATTACACTGTTACAAAATAGGAATTATAGTAACTGTATGGGTTTATCTGTTTTTGTTTTAAAAAAACCAACATCCAAATGTATAAATCGTTACATACCGTCTTTTTCGATCTTCTAGAAGAACGCGTGGGTTTCCTTTTAGCATGTGACGAAAGATGCCTGAAAGCTTGTTCTGAGTTCAAATTCCAGAGCACTATTTCACCGTCATAGCTTGCCGTGGCCAGTGTTGTTGGAGGACAGAAAGCTTCAGATAATACATCATCCTGGTGCTCCTGATGAATACAGCCAAACGGTGCAAATGAAAGGTTGTGTGTTAGCTTGCACCGCGTCCATGCAAGTTTCTTATTCATATTTAGAATATAGCCCAAAGACATTATGCGCGCTGATTGGTTTAAAATCGCGTTTTTATTAAACAATTAGATTAAGAGTTCAAGATTTCTATCACGCATAGAAATCGAGAGCGAATAATCTAATTGTTTAAT